CAAAGGAAATCTGGATTCGTCGATCCCAGATGGATGATACTTATGGAATAAACATTTAATAAAAAGAAAAAATATCAGGCCATGCAGAAACTAACAAATATTCTGACGTGCAATATTCTGGTTTAAAAACCTGTCCTTTTATGGATAAGATGCTTCTTCGATTGGCGCAGGAACCGCCTTTCTATTTCAGCCAATTATTCAATTAAGGCTTGATCTTGAATGATCAGGGAGAGAGGGTAGGGACAGGTACTGCTTAAGGGTCGTAGACACCATTTGACCCTTCCACTCTTCACTGTGTAATATCAGAGCTAATTTAGACTCAACTGAGAGTCTTGTTACACACCACAGAGGTAAAATCACTGATACTTAGGTCTGAGTATTAGACCTGATTTAATTTATAGGAGGAATAGCTCAGTGGTTTGAGCATTGGACTGCCAAACCCAGGGTTGCGAGTTCAATCCTTGAGGAGGCCACTTAGGGATCTGGGGCAAAAATCAGTACTCGGTCCAGCTAGTGAAGGCAGGGGGCTGGGCTTGATGACCTTTCAAGGTCCCTTCCATATATCTCCATATATATTAATGGTGATGACCACCTTCTGGGAATTATTCGTTTCCCAGCAGAGTCCACAGGAGCTAAAAGCAGCAATGGAACAACAAACCGCTGCACTAGCATCTGAAGAGCGCATCTCCATTAATAATCTGCTGTAAGAGTAATAATCACAGTAACAGAATGTTATCGCAGGGTCTCGGGCTGGGACTTTTGCCTCGTTCTGCATGTACAATCGCAGCAGCTGAGATTGACTGGGACGCTGTCGCTGCTGCTGCTGGGACTGGAAGCAGAGCATTCTCAAAACAGACTTCTCTCCTGTGGAATCTGTTCCTCCAGTCCTAGCAGATCACCCAAGTTACCATGAGTATTAGTATGGCAGTGAAGATGTACGTCAGGCTTACCTGGTGACCTAGTATGGCTTACGTATTTTTGTAACTGTGTGACTGGAATGACACAAGATGCTTATCTGCCCTAGCAAATGGAACCAGAGAAATATTTATTCAAGTAAATATCTTAAGATTTCACAAGCTTTTCAGTACCTCCAAAGAAAGCCCAGGGTAGGTAATTCAGCAGGAAGCACTCGTCTCTCAAGCCAGTTATGACCAACGGCACTGTGTGGTACAAATGGCAATTTTTTGTGGGAGGAGACATAAATCCAATTTTTTAACTGCTTGTGGTGATTAAAAATCTTATGGCTCTTTTCACAAGAGTAGGGATGTTAATGCTGGTGTCCTAGCTAAAATCGTAATTGGTTAATTACACTCTGTATCCCTAAATTCCCCATATAACTTCACTTAAATATGGAAGTCTTTATGACCTGGAAACTCCTTGGATCAGGGACCATGTAAGACATATAGGTCATGAAATAAAATAAGGTATTCAGCCCCTGTTGTTGTCCATCCCAGGGGTGGCTGGAGTGACTCCCAAATCTGAGAAGTGCTTTCGGATCCTTTGGGAGGAAAGGTGCTATGTAAACGTATGCTCATGAGGTGACCACTGCTGTGTGACACTGTTCTATTCCCTTGACAATAACTCTTAAAGAAACAAGCTAAAGTATCTTTAAATTCACCAACAAGTTAACTCTCTTCCCTATGTCACATTAGATATATCAGAACTTTACCTTCTCAAGGTAACACGCAAGCAAGCAGTTCACTTCCTCCTCTGTTGTGCATTCCAAAAATCATTCTTTCTGGTACAGTATCTACTCCAAAAAACATTCTTTCTGGTACAGTTTTATTCACATGCTATGAGAACTGCAGCCAAACTGATGCTTAAACCAACTGCATTCACGGAATCCCCAAGCATCTTTGCCACGTTTGAGTTACTTTATGGCACTTTCCTCTTCTCCCTCGTTTTTCAACACTCTGATTAAGCACAGGACCATGATTTTGCAACAGGGACAATGTGGGGGTTGGTTTATAATGCAACACATACAGCAAGTCAAGTTCAGTCATCATCAAATCCCAAGGATCTACCCAGCGGCAGCCATGCTGGACAAACCATAGGTGACCAGGAGTCTGCTGGAGCCTCTGCACCAGATTTCATAGTTTCATTAGTGAACAAACTTCTGGCATCAAAGACTGGAAAATTCCAGCCAAATATGTTCTGCCTTAATGAGCAAACACTATCGTCCTTCTCGAAATCTCCACTCCACGGTAGTGGCATTATCTACTTTTTTTTATGGCTTTGGCCTTATGTGACTGAAGTGGGAAGCTACGTTTGTCTAATCCAGGGGCTTTTCCAGTCCTCCTAAATTCTTATGTGGCCCCAAGCACTGCAATATCAGAATGTCTTCAATGAGCGTTTCCCTTTTCCTTCTCTGCAGATAAGAAGCAAGCACTGCTTTTTGGTCAGCCATAAGAATGAAAGTGAGGCTGCCCAAGCACGACAGCCTGAACAAAGAGGTGGGTTTTGCATGTAGCTCTGAATGGGGTCAGATTACTCAACCTTAGTTCATCTGGCAGCGAGTTCCATAGTCTTAATCCAACTCCTGGGAGAGTTCTGTCTCCTGCACCCACAAGCCTCATCCTACTGGTTGGCAGTTGCACACTGCCAGGGGGATGTAGCTGTTGTGGGAGGCCACCTTTATTTGACTGACGAAAAGGAAACTTGGTGTGTAACAGTAATTCCTTTGAATTCACTAAATCCAGCAGTGGGCAAACACCCACTTCACAATTTAACTGGTGGCCAAGCACTTCCTGAAACATAGTTAATCACTGATGTCTGTTCAAACCCAGCAGCTTTGCAATTCTTCGGGAATTAATTCTAGATAAATAGCTCTCTAAGTATATAAAATGCGGTTTTAACCTGGAACATTCCATTAAATTAACCAGGTTTTATCCTTTATTTCAATTGTTAATCATTTCCAAGGTATTGCCTCCATCCATTTACCCAGTGACAATCCCTAACCACAAGTTCTGTACCAGAGACATGCTGACCTTCGTCTATTCAAACATTGCAATCATCGCATTCAATAGTGTTTGTACAGCAGTCTGAACATAGAAAGGACTCAGCATTACAATGCTATTATGGCTATTTTAGCAGGATGGAATATCACAAATGAGGATAATGCTAATGCTTGCGTTAATGGCTAAGAATAATGTAGCATTCACTTTGCACTTAAAAAACACCTTTCAGACGACAATCTAAAAGCCCTTTGCAAACATTCATTCTCCTAAAACTGATATGTTGTCAGTTGTTATCTCCAGTTCAGAGATGGGGAAAGTCAGCCACAGAGATGACCATGTTCAAGCGTACATCTTAAATCAGTGGTTCCACTAGAAATTCAACCCAGGAGTCCCTGCTCTAACCATAGTCTGCAATGCCACTGACCACTATCAAAAATTTCAACCTTAGAACATAAACTTAGTAGAAATAATGAAAGCAGAACTGTCTCAAAATAAGACTTTTTTAACATTGGGGAGCAGAACTGGCTGTTCTGCTAATTGTACAAGAGAGGCCTGTTGGATCAAATGAATCTGTTAAACCAGTCAGTTTAAATCTCATACAGCAAGTAGCAAACTTCAACTTGGCTGATTTCTGGGCAGGCAGGGCTTGCACTAAGGCAACTCTCACTGAAGACCGGCCGCAAAATCACTGGAAAGAGAATGCTGGCTGCATTTGCACTCTGACATCATCTTGTGGTATGAGAGAGTGGAGGATTTACATCTTGCCCAGATGGCTAAGGGTCATGGACTCCACAAAGAGAGGGGCAGAGAAAAAACTTAGATCAGGAAGGGAGAATGGACGAGGAAGCCCCAACTTCTCCCTGGAAGGTACAAGAAGGGTAAGTGGGGAAGACAGACAGCATGTACTGGGTTAAAAAGGAGCAGGGCTAATGTAGCCAGCACAGAGCAATAGATACCGATATGTAATGGAAGGGAGAAAACGAAAAAGGGAAAAGAAAAAGTCTCTCTTATTTTGCGTTTGTACAGTGTCTGGCAAAATGGGGCCTTAATCACTGCAGGGCCTCTAGGGGTAAGTCTACACTGAAATTAAACACCCGTAGCTGGCCTGTATCAGCTGACTTGGGCTGTAAAACAGCAGTGTAGACGTTCAGGCTCAGATTGGAGCCTAAGCTCTGGGACCCCATGAGGGGGTGGGAGGCCCCAGAACCCAGGCTCCACCCCAAGCCCGAAAGTCTCCATGGCAATTCTGCAGCCCCGCAGCCCAAGCCAGCTACCACAGGCCAGCTAAAGCGTTGAATTGCAGTGCAGATTGTGCAATACGTGCTATTGTACAGAAATAAATAACGAGAAAGGGAAAATGAGTATAAAAAAGAAAACAAACTGGAAGAAAGGTGATGAGGGAGATTTAACAAAAAATACAATGCACATCAACCAGATTTCCAGATCCACAGACACCGTTAGTTGGTATCGCATGACAAGAACTCAATTCCCAGTTTTCATTCAGTCTAAAATGTCTTCTCAACTAATCTGCACTGCTGTTTTCCATATCCAAGATCAGGCTGTTTTGCTTCTGCCCCACTGATGTTATAGTGCTGTGACAACATGACAAGATCTTTCAAGCAAGGATACATGGCAGCTGCATTCCAAAACAGAGATAATAAGAGATTTACCCAGAGACCAGATGCAGACCTCAGAATTCTAGAGTGTGTTCTGAACTGTTGTTGCATTGAATACTAGGTGTAGCCCACAGAGACTGTGGGTCCAGCATGCAATGCTTCATTTCTGTTACAGCCAGCGTCCAATTCGATAAAAATGCAGGATTGCATACTGGAACCTGTAGTCCTCAGGGCTGCACCTCCATAGTTAATATATTGGTAGCTCTGCTTCCATTTTGTGCAAATCAGGCTATTAGCAAGTTACCTAGATGAACTTTGGTAGGGAACAATTTGGTTTCTCCTGCACTAGGTACATCCTAGACACTGTCTGGAATGGGTGGATTCCTTCCACCCTTCTCTAACGAGCCAGCTCTGCAGCATTACTCACAGAGAGGAGGTCCAAACAGCACTGTGTCCAGGGCTTTCAGCTGCAGCTTCTGCCTGTGGCTCCGATCAGTCATTTTCAGTACAGTTCCCATCATGGTGGCGTTGTTTATCGCTAACCTACAGGGGGGAAAAAGAGCAAGCGGTCACATTTCAATCTGGAAATGGCAATGGGATAAGAATACCAGCACCTGAGATCTCAGAGGAGAAATACAATGAACAGGACCAGGGCACTGTCCTCTCAGATACCAAGGCAAGTGGAAGACCCTTAGAGAACTCAAAATTCAGCCTTTGAAGCAGGCTAGATATTTAAAAAACAGCTTCCTTGGCAATCAGGTGAGTATTGGCACAAGAATCAGAAAGTGACAAGTGCCATTTTTTTCAGTTAAACCTGGAACTCAAATGCATTTTTCACCCAGACCTACCCAAATCTCTCTATTTGGCCACACCATCCATCAGTTGCTTCCTCAACTCCATATAGCTGGCAACTGGAACCTCATCCTTTGCACGGCCAACACTGGAGAGAACTCCCAGATGGGAGAAAACCTGATCAGATCAGCACACCCAGGCTCTGGAGCAAAACATGCACTGCCACAGAAGCCTTATTTTATTACCACTTACAACACCTTCTCCCCACCCTGCCTAAAGGCCCCTTGTTAGCAAGGATAACCTTGGGCCTTTCGGTCTGTTAGCCCCACTCCTAATCCAACAGCAAGTGTTGCTGTTGAGTAGCATGAGATTCTGCAGCTCTTGTTTATTATTTGTATTACTAGAGTACCTAGAGGCCCCACCCAAGACCAGGGCATAGGAACGTAAGAACGGCCATACTGGGTCAAACCAATGATCCATCTAGCCCAGCATCCTGTCTTCCGACAGTGGCCACTGCCAGGTGCCCCAGAGGGAATGAACAGAACAGGCAATCATCAAGTGATCCATCCCGTCATCCACTCCCAGCTTCTGGCAAATAGAGGTGAAGGACACGTTAGGCATGGGGTAGTATCCCTGACCGTCTTGGCTAATAACCACTGATGGCCCTATCCTCCATGAACTAATCTAGATCTTTTTTGAAACCTGTTACATAGTTGTGGACTTCACAATATCCCCTGGCAACGAGTTCCACAGGCTGACTGTGCGTTGTATGAAAAAATACTTCCTTTTGTTTGTTTTAAACCTGCTGCCTATTCATTTCATTTGGTGACATCTGGTTCTTGTGTTGTGTGAAGGGGTAAATAACACTTCTGGATTCACTTTCTCCACATAGCCATGATTTTATAGACCTCTACCATATCCCCCATAGTTGTCTCTTTTACAAGCTTAAAAGTCCCAGTCTTTTTAATCTGTCCTCATACAGAAGGGTGTTCCGTACCCCTATCATTTTTGTTGCCCTTCTCTGTACCTTTTCCAATTCTAATATAGCTTTTTTAAGACAGGGTGACCAGAACTGCATGAAGTATTCAAGGTGTGGGCATTTATATAATGGCATTATGATATTATCTATCACATTATCTCTCTTTCCTAATGGTTCCTAACATTCTGTTACCTTTTTTGACCACTGCTGCACACTGAGTGGATGTTTTCAGAGAACTATCCACAATGACTTCAAGATCTCTCTCTTGAGTGGTAACAGCTAATTTAGATCTCATTATTTTGTATGTATAGCTGGGACTACGTTTTCCAACATGCATTACCTTGCATTTATCAACATTGAATTTCATCTGTCAATTTGTTGCCCTTTGAGATCCCTTTGTAACTCTTTGCAGTCTGCTTTGGACTTAACTATCTTGAGTAGTTTTGTATCATCTGCAAATTTTCCCACCTCTCTGTTTGCCCCTTTTTCCAGATCATTTATGAATATGGGGGACACCACTATTTACCTCTCTCCATTCTGAAAACTGACCATTTATTCCTACCCTTTGTTTCCTATCTTTTAACCAGGCCTTGTGCTAGCCCCTCTGCACCAGGAGGAATTTCACCCGCTATTATTTAATCCCATAAATATGTTCTTCTCTCTCTCTCTCTCTCTCTCTCTCTCTCACACACACACACACACACACACACACACACGTAAGTGAGAAGATGCAATCGGCACTAACCTGGGCATGGCATGTCCACTTAGCTGCAGTTTCCTGAAGGTTTCTTCATACTGTGGCAGTTCCACATAGGTGATTAGCCACTGCACCACCTCATCAACTGTCCAGTTATACACTGTGAGGGAAGAAAAAAAAAACAGCTGAATCCTTTTCTTGTGGAGCTGAAACTCAGCCAGCTGGCAGCACCAACACATCTGCTATCTTCATCAACACCCCAGGACAGGAGCTTCACCTGCTGCATCCCTCCCTTTCTCCTTCTGCACAGTAAAGATAAAAGCTGTGGAGGGTTGTCACAGGGTAGCTGATCCCTGTAGATAGATAAAGCCCAGCTCCCCTGGACCGGGGCAGGTAAGCCCACTCCAGCTAATTAGAGAGGGCTGGGTTACACCTGAGCCTACAAAGGGCTGCTAGTGAGCAGGAGTAAGGACTGAGCCTGGAGAGGGAAAGTCACACTGGAGTGGAGCTAGTACACGTGGTGGGTCCCTGGAGCAAGGGGCCAGGGAAGCAGCTGGGCGGCTGCTGCTCCAAGAAGGGACCGGAGCTGGCTGAGGCTAGGGCGCTGGTGTGCCGGAGACTCCTGAGGGGGGGTGGCCCTGAAGCCTGGGGCCAAGGATGGAGTTAAGTCAGTTTTCTGTTTATTTGATGACCTCCGTTAAAGAAATAAACCTCCTTAACGGAGACTGGGTGAGGCAGTGCATGCTTTGAAGCCAGGGAGAAGGCGAGCTCGGTGACAAGGGTTTAAATCCTTCATTGCTGGAAGGCGGTTCCTCGTATGTCTGAGCAGCACATTTCGAGGAAACAGCTAAAAGCTGTATTAGGAGTGCTGGGATGCACCAGACAAGCTCATCACCCCACTGGAAACATGAAGCAAATCTGGCAGCACTGCACGCACAGGTAAGCCACCTTAAGTAACTAGATGAAGACCTGCAAAATGTCACGTGAAAATTGGCTAGGTGACCTTATAGGTTTTTTCAGCCTGTAACATCTTTGGTTGTGTGCTGATTTTTCATAGTCTGTCCTGTATATATGATAAGTCTGCTGCAGAAGATTTAGGACAAACAGGTACCAGCATACAGTACCCACAAACTGTCACTTTTCCCAACAGCTATCTAAGGCAATAAACTTTATGGGGGGGGGGGGAGTATTTTACACCACAATTACAGCTCATGGGAGGAGGAGGATGACGGCATCAGATATACCAGCAGTCTGAAACAGCTCTTGGCAAAGATTGTGTTCAATTTCCTCACTGTGTGCATTACAGCACAATCCCGACTCCTAGGCAGCAGTGTTTGTAGCTTTATCAGAGCAATTGGAAGCTGAGAGGCTCTCAAGAGCCGCGATACAAAGCACTCAGGAGACAGATTAAAAATGGTCCATGAAACTGCTTTGCTGGATGAAACCGCTGGCACTTGTACAGTGCTTTCTTCACCTCCTTCACATGCTTTGTTAGGCTTCTGGAGGGAGTTACTTTGGCCCCAACTTTGAAAACTGTGTCGACTAATTTTAGGTGCATTCATTTTGAAGGAGTTCAACTTGGGACACAGCTTGATATCAAAAGACTCCAAAATGAGTGGACAGCGGAAAATTTTGGCCTACGAAATTAGTTTTCTCTCTTGCCTTTAATCTTGATTGTACCCCAGTGACACTGCTAAAACAGAAAGAAGTCAAGCAGCAATACAACCATTAACCAGGGGTGAGTGGCTGTTTGCTCTACTTTGATATGTCTAGTGTAGCCTGCATACAGCATCTGCCTGGTTCATCCAGTGACATTTAGATAAATCCCAAATCATTCAAACAGGATCCTCTATTTGATGTCCAATCATTGCTTTAATTGGTTGTGACTATTGCACATTCTTCTATCCAAGACTTCAAGAGAGAGATCTCATACACAGTGGTTTTAGATCTCTAGCTAGCTACCACAGCCTAATTCACCTCTGGTCTGAAATGGTTCTATGACATTGAAGTCAATAGTCAACTAATGCCAACAGTAATTTATACCTCAGCTCCCTCACTTTGAATGGATACATAAAAATCTAAGAACATCTTCCACTTCCCTCAGAGGAGATGAATACTTCCAGCTGGAGAGAAGGCCTGACAGGGTGGGAGTTCCCTTGTTTGACAGAAGCTAGTGTCTAATATGGGCAGCCAGAGGAAAGGGATATAATTTTAATGCAATCTCACGGGATTGTCAGTACAGAGAGATACAAAGCAGCACAAGCACGACAGTAAACCCCACCAGTTTAAGAAAACTCTCTTACTGCATTAATTTAGATGATACTAGACATGATGGAAGCCAGACTGTGGGCCATAAAACATTTCCTTTACATCTGGCAACTATCAAGCATGAACACACCCAGGGGAATTAGAAATTAAAACTGGATCTTTAGAACCTGGTGTTAAATACCAAAGCCTTCTAATCTCTACTAGGGAGCATCACGAGGGGCTGGAATGAGTGTCAATGCCCACTTCAAACCTTTTATTAAAAAAAAAAAAACACCAAGACAAGATTTAATGCTAATTTGGATACTGGTTCTACTGTCAAAGAGGCAAATACAAAACTATTTCAGATTTACAGCCTTCTTCTCTGCACCTCCTGCCTACAAGGAGAGGAATTGCAGCCTCCAACACAAGAAAATTGCTAGAAATAGTAAGTCATTCTTGCTTACAGTAGAAAGTAGATCCCCACTCTTGGGCCCATGCCCAGCTGAATTCTTATTGCTCCAAATTCTGTGCTGTTAAACCTCCTCACCAAAGAGTGTGGCAAATACCTACCTTACTGGTAGTGCTGCCCTCAGCTATCTGGCGCTTTTTTACTGTAGTGAAGGCAGCTTCCCTCTGATGGTTGCTGTATTACCAGCTCTGCTCTCTTTGGGAGACATTTTTTGATTCCTCACATCTAAGCTCATCTAACAGTTGATCATCATCTGCTTAAAACAGTAGTCATTGAGTATGTTTACATGAATTCAAGCCCCTGGTTTCCTCAGAAGCTGCCTATTTTAGTCTTTCCTTTTGACATTATGTACCCATCTTGTCTTTGTTTTTTTAGAGGAACTGTCTAAGAAGCAGTCCCGAGTCAACAAAGCTATAGGAGAGTGAACTGGAGTCTATTCTGCCTGAACTTCAAAGCTAACAGCTGAAAAATCTTTATTTCTGATGACAATGTAAAAGGCAAAAAGAACAGTTTGATTTTCAGACCTCAGCAGAATCTGCAGAGATGGCAGTTTAAAAAAGCATTTAATTTGTAAACTGAACAAATCTGCTCTGGGCGTCAAGTCAGCGAGAGACTCCCACCACACCATTTCAAAGCCATCTTTCAGATGACAACTGCAGCAAGAAAGCACAGCCTTCTTTGTGGGCCTGATTCTACCAGTCTTCCACAATGGATGTACTAATGAATTCAAAAGAAGTTCATGCTCAGAAGGATTAGCCTCCGTATGAGAATGAGAATAACCTTGGAAATGAACCATTTCATATTTTATTAACAAGATGAGGCATGTTGCAGCAGAAAAACTGAAGAGATAACTAAGCCCAATTCAGCAAGGGGGAAAATCATGTAACAGAACCATTTTAAGGAAATGCTACTTAAAATGTGTTTCAGGAAAAAGAAGAAATCAAAACAACAGAGTAACGTCTCTTGAGAGCATCCTAGGATGTTCCAGCACTTAAGAGCTTCTGAGTTTAAACGGACATTCAAATACACTTAGGCAAAGCCATTTGTAAACAACGATACAATAGAATAAATATTTCTAATGTCAGGCTTTCCTCGAACATACAGAAGACAAAGTGCCCCGTAGCATCAATCTGATTTTTAAAGTGCTTTGGACAAGAAGTTTTAAACATATTGGCCACCCTAGTGAACAGAAAAATAAAACAAATGGGACAGGGAACCAAACAATTCAAATTTTTGTTTTTTAAATACCCCATTCTTCTGTTCTTCTCCCAACACTTTTCTCCAGAGAGTTTCCAGTTGGTTGTAATTTGGAACCTAGAAAAGCGATTCCAGATTCATGCATGTCATTGCTTCATTTTCCAGTACCACAGACTCATGTATGCTGTTGGTGACTTATTAAGTCGCTCCTCAGAGACCATAAGGGATAATTAAACCAGTCGTTTTTAAATTATAATTTATATACAGACACATGTCAACACCGCACTTTGAAGACAGAGATGCTTCCTGCCCCAAAGAATTTATAGTGTAAATGAAACAAGCCAAACATAAAAGAAACAGCACGAGGCTGAGAAGCTGAAAGGTTTGGAGGTTGTCAATAAAGTGATCAGAAGATTACTTGAAGAAGTGGATTTTAATGAGTTTATGAAACTGCCGGATGGGTGGATTTTAATAAGGGACTTGACGGAGGGGAGGAGAGGATGGATGGCAGAGAAGGCTGTTCCAGGTGCGAAGGCAGGATGATAGAAGGGCATGAATGGACTAAGGGGGAAGGACTGGGAGGAGGATATATGTGTTATAAATTATAACCTTTGTCAAGGCACATATTCTGTGACAAGCTGGCTGCATGTGGCACAGTGCATGGACTCTCCGACTAGAAACTCTGTGGGAGCATCACTTAAATTAAAAATGGAGATTTTAAATTCAATAAACAACGCATGATAAAGTCAGTAGAATGGCACCGCGTTTCAATATTGAATTCCACTTATTCTACACTGCCCCCACCTTTTCATTGTTGAGGTAATGCAGATTTCTGTATTTGTTAGAGCTGGCCAGAAACTGGAATTTCCATTCTGTAGGAAATTCCAAAAACTTACTGATTGATTGAGAGAGAGAGAAAAAACAACAAATATTGTTCTGAACTGGAACACAAAATACATAAACATTTCCAAGTGTCCCTCAAAACAGGAAGCTGAAGTTTGGTTAGGAAAACATCACAGTGACATTTCATTTTGATCTTTTTGAAGTGCTTCCAACTTTCCCTGAGCTGCCCAAAGCCCCGGCAGCTCATCAAGCAAGGAGTTTGGGAGCCCAGGCTCTAGGGCAGCTGGTGAGCCTGGGAGCCCCACGCTCCCCAGCAGCCCGTCAGGCAGGGAGTCTGGCAGTCTGGGGAGCCAGGGAGGTGGGCAGGAAACCAAGCAGGTTTCTGATGGAAACCTGCCTGGTTTCTTTTGAAAGTTTTGTTGAAACCGACACATTCCTGTGGAACATTTCAATTTTGACAAATCAGCATTTTCTGACAAATCAGGATCAAAAAATTTCTGATCAGCTCTAGTATTCATGACTCAGAGATGTTGTCGGGGAAGCTGGAGGTTTGGGTAGCTGGACTAAGAACACATGAGGATTTTGTCCCCAGGAAAGGCAGTTCAAGACTGTGGGATACACACAGTTAGCTGGATGCTTCTGCTAACGTTCTCAGTAATGGCATGGTTAATGTTGACATTTTCACTGTCATTGTTAAGTTTCAGAATTAACAGCTCCTTGAGGTGGATGAGGCAATAATAGTGACAACATCCAGAGCCCTATCATAAAGGAAAGCAGGGGAAGTATTTGCAAAGAACGGCAGAAGAGGCATCTGTATATTATTCAGGAGGTGCTCACACCCTTTGTGAAGGTAGTATGCAATGCAGAAGTGTTTTCTCGATCCCAATTAACCCAACAGCACCAGGCATTACTGGTGAGCAGAAATGCCTTTTTCTTCCTGCGTATACAATAAACTAGAAGATTATGGCCAGCTCTCTAATGTGGTCCTTTCCATGGCCATTTATGTCTTTGTGACCTGCCAATGGGATTATTGTAATGAGCACTATGGGGCTATCTTTAAAGACCACTCAGAAGTTTCAGCTAGTACAGAAACAGCCTTAGGGAACAGATGATACCTACTTGTTTTCCAGAAGCCACACTGGTTTCCTACTTGTTTCTGTGAACACATGCTCTGAAGGATACAATTCTAGTGTTTGTCCAGTCTAATTTGAAATGTCTCAAGCAATGGAACTATCAGTACTGTCCTTGGAAAACAATTCCACAGTCTAATGCAGTGGTCTCCAAAGTGGGATGCGCGCACCCCAGGGGGTGCGCAAGAGGATCCTTCGGGGTGCACAGCAGGAGGAGACCGTCGGAGCAGCACCGCTTCGGCAGTTCGGGTGCCTTTTTTTTTATTGTGCTTGGGGCGGCAAAAATGGTAGAGCCGGCCCTACGGTGCGGCAGGGGGTGCGTGCTCAAAAATTTTTTACTGATAGGGGTGCGTGATCAAAAAAGTTTGGAGACCACTGGTCTAACAGTCCTCACATTTAGATGATTTCTGTGGGGTTCCTCTAAAAGAGCATGTTACTTATTATCTGCCTGTTACTAAGGTGCTGAATGCAACTGTATTGTTGTTCTCTGTATCCACTCGATAATTTTCTGCTTCAATTGACCACTCCAGATATTTTATTTGTGCTCCTCTTATCCCTCTGGAAAACTAAGTCCATGCAAAAAGTGACAGAAGAGGCTGGAACCAACCATGATCTTTCTGCTGAAAATACAAACAAAATGGATGCATCAGTGTTTAGATATGAGAATTTTTACCTTCGGATGTTTTCCATGACTTCCAGAGATCTTCCACGCTGATGAGTTTATCCTCCCCATGGAAGGTGCTGTGTTTGACTGTTGGGTCATGATAATTTAAGTCTTCCCTCAGGAACTAGAAAAAGAATACAAAGGGGTTAGTCATTAATTCATAGATTTTTAATGACCGTTTAGTCAGATATCCTGCATAACACAAACCACAGAAAATCACCAAGTAATTTTTGCAGCAAACACACAACTTGTCCATGATCAAGTCCATGATCAAGTCACCACTTAACCTTAACCTTAAATCTCTCATCGTACAGCAGGTTTTCCAGACCTTGAATCATCTTGTAACTCTTTTCTGAATCCTTTTCGATTTCACCATCCTTTCTGAAGCATGGATACTAGAACCAGACATAGTATTCCAGTGATGGTCTTATGGATACTGTATACAGAAGTAATCCCATCTCCCTGCTCTTACTTAAACTTGCCTTGCTTATACATTTAACAGTTGCATTAGCCTGCTAAACCCAGGGTTGTGAGTTCAATCCTTGAGGGGGCCATTTAGGGATCTGTGGCAAAAAAAAAATCTGTCTGGGGATTGGTCCTGCCTTGAGCAGGGGCTGGACTAGATGACCTCCTGAGGTCCCTTCCAACCCTGATATTCTATGATTCTATGACATGTTAGTATGCATCTAACCCAACTCTGCAATTTTTGTTCCTGTTTTTCTGTAAATCGGAACACTGAACAAATTACAAACCCACCATTAGAACATAACCAACTTTAAACCAGTTTCCAAAAGCTACACCACTGTAGACAGGGACTTAAGAAATCTTCAGTCCTTGATTCTAAAATCAAAGTCATCTGAAGTGGATACTCTCTTCAATACTGGAGTCACAGGCAAAAGAGCTGATGCTAAGGTACCCTGCCAGTGTCTTCTCACCAGCAGTGCCAGAGGCAATCAGGTGTTAGGTACTGATGAAGGCTGGAGGTTGGCTCTGCAGAGCTAAAGAGTCATAAAAAGCAGTAAAAACGTATTTTTATCACTAACTTCAGCAAGTACGATTCTGAATTCACCCAGAAGTACATCTATTGTAATACTGAGTTGGCTCTTCAGCAACAAATTGTGTTCATCTATGTGTGTGAGAATTCTGTTCTTTAGGAGTGAAGTTAGGCTTACTGGCCTGGATTGCCGGGATCGCCTCAGGAGCATTTTTCAAAAATTGGTGTCCCATTACCTATCTTCCAGTCATCTGGTACAGAAGTTGATTTAAGCGATAGGTTACATACCATAGTTGACAGTTCTCCAATTTCAGATTTGAGTTCCTTCAGAACTCTTGGGTGAATACCATCTGGTCCTGGTGACTTATTACTGTTTAAATTTATCAGTTTGTTCCAAACCTCGTCTACTGACACCTCAATCTGGGACAGTTCTTCAGATTTGTCACCTAGAAAGAATGGCTCAGGTGTGGGAATCTCCCTCACATCCTCTGCAGTGAAAAGGGATGCAAAGAATACATTTAGCTTCTCTGCAATGGCCATATTATCTTCCTTGAGTACTCTTTCAGCATCTTGATCGTCCAGTGGCCCCACTTATTGTTTGGCAGACTTCCTGCTTCTGGTGTACTTTAACTTTTTGCTGTTAGTTTTTGAGTCTTTTGCCAGTTGCTCTTCAAATTTTTTTTTGGCCTGCCTAATTATACTTTTACACTTGACCGAATTTATGCTCCTTTCTATTTTTGTTAGTAGGATTTGACTTCCAGTTTTCAAAGGATGCCTTTTTGCCTCTAACGGCTTCTGTTACTTTGTTGTTTAGCCATGGTGGTACTTATTAGGTTTTTAATTTGGGGTATACATTTAATATGAGCCTCTATTATGGTGTTTTTTAAAAAGAGTCTATGCAGCTTTCATGCATTTCACTTTTGTGACTGTACCTTTTCCATTTAACTAGCTTCCTCACTTTTGTGTAGTTCCCCTTTCTGAAGTTAAATGCTGCGGTGGTCAGCTTCTTTGATATCTCCCCTCCCCCCCACAAAAGGATGTTCGATTTAATTTGATTATGGTTGCTATTACCAAGCAGTTCATCTATAGTCACCTCTTGGATCAGACCCTGTGTTCCACTTGGGACTAAAATCAAGAATTGCCTCTCCTCTTGTAGGTTCCAGGACTAGCTGCTCCAAGAAGCAGTCATTAATGGTGTTTAGAAACTTTCTCTCTGTAGGTTTTAGAGTAGTAGCCATGTTAGTCTGTATCCGCAAAAAGAATAGGAGTACTTGTGGCACCTTAGAGACTAACAAATTATCTCTGTAGACCATCCTGAGATGACATGTACTCAGTCAATATGGGGATACTTGAAATCCCCCATTATTATTGAGTTTTCTATTTTAATAGCCTCTCTAATCTCCTGGAGCACTTCACAACCACCATCCTGGTCAGTAGTATAGTCCTACTGCTATATCTTATTCAAGCATGGAATTTCTATCCATAGACATTCTATGGTACAGTTTGAGTCACTTAAGATTTTTACTGTGTTTGACTCTATGCTTTCTTTCGCATGTAGTGCCACTCCCCCACCAGCACGACCTACGCTGTCCTTTCTGTGTATCAGAAGTGGGCCTCGCAGAGCTCCCCAGGCTCCCCCCATTCTCCGCCTACCAGACTTGGGGAAAGGAGGCTCAGCACTTCTGCCAGAGATGACTGGCGCCTGCTGAGAGTGGGGGGCACAATTTAAAGGTTTGCCCCCCCCCCAACAGCTTGAATCATGCACCCCCCGCCCCCACCTGGCACACATACCCCTCTCACCCTCAGCGGCCCCTTCCTGCAGCTCCCTGGTGTTAGCTCTGTGTGGAAAGGCAAAGGCAAAAAGCTGGGAGCTGCAGGAGAGGCCGCTGCTTTAGATCCATGGGGAGAGGCAGCAGCAAATGCAATGGCTCTCCCTGCAGCTCCCAGCTGTTTGCCGTTGCCTCTCCCCACGGCCACAGCTCCCAGCTTGATGGCTCCAGTACCTGCCCTGCAGGGAGGGGGCCTGGCAGCACCATGTGACAGAGCCTGGCCACCAAACCCTGGCAAAAATCTGGTCATGTGGTCCCCATGTGTCACCTCCAGCTTCTTCCAACCAAAGCGGGGGGGGGGGGGGGGTGTCTCATGGCTTCAGCCCTGCAGGGTGTGCTTGTCGGGGCTCGAGGCTTCAGCAGGAGCAGGGCTGAAACCCCGAGCTCTGGAGACACCCCAAGCCCCGGCAGGCATGCCCTGGCTCTCGAGCTTCTGAAGATTGTGGTATGCGGCTCGGAGGGTCAGTAAGTTTGGCCACTCCTGCTATGTATTTTGTATCCTGGTATCACCATGTCCCACTGATTATCATCATTCCACCAAGTTTATGTGATGCCTGTTACATCAATATCCTCATTCAATACCAGGCACTCAAGTTCACCCATCTTAGTATTTAGATTTCTAGCATTTACATACAAGCGCTTATAAAATCTGTCACGTTTTAGCTGTCTGCCATTATGTGATGTAACTGACTGGGACTCTTTCGTTTGATTTTCTCTCTTCAGTTCGTACCTGTACTTTATCAACTTCTAGTCTTTCCTCTTTAGTAGGAGATCAAGAATCCCCGTTAATAGATCCTCCCCTAAGGGATATCTCCATCCAAACCATGTGCTCCTCTGCATTTCTCGGCTTTCCACAAACTCTTAGTTTAAAAACTCTACTACGACCTTTTTAATTTTACATGCCAGCAATCTGGTCCCATTTTGGTTTAGGTGGAGCCAATCCTTCCCAAAAGGTTCCCCACTTCCTAATAAACTTAAATCCCTTCTCCCTACACCATCATCTCATCCACATATTGAGACCCTGCAGGGGGAACTGGAAGCATTTCAGAGAATGCTAGCTATGAGGTCCTGGACTTCTCTCTCTTACCTAGCAGCCTAAAATTGGCCTCCGGAACCTATCTTCTATCTTACATGTGCAGTCAATTGAAACTTGCATCAGGACACACGGTTTGAGCTTAACCAACTTTATTTCATTACTCCACACCCTTGCAGCAGAATGCAGGACTCCCAGGGTGATGATCCGTGAAGGCAATTTCACAAAAGAGAAAAAACAGACTCTCTTTGGTGATTAGTAGTAAAATTAGGCAAGCAAAATCCCTTATTACCAGGAACGCTAAGGGACTTACCTTGCTCTGTTTTCAAATGTATTAGGTGCTGATGCTGCACTGATACAAGTCGATATGTATACACACAGTGTATACTATACAATATTCTTAAAATTCATATTTTGCTCTGAATAGCTCTGATGAATAGTGGTGAAAAGACCATATTGATTTAGCTGAACATTTTGAAGTTACAAAGGCGGGCGCGGGGGGGGGGGGGGGGATCTGACCACCACACCATGTGACATCAGCTCCTCCCTTCAGTTCTTCTCAGCAGTACTAGTTTATGCTCCATTATGGTTATAAACTTCACAGGACACCAAGCCATCACTCCCATTCGAGGGAGAATAGCTTTAAGTTAGTAAATAGGTGAGCCAAAGAAGGGAGCAAAGCAAAAGATGCAAACTTGTCTATTTCTCCCCGTTTTGATTTGTGACCTACATGGGATATGCAGCAATGTCATCTGGAGTTGCCACAACGGGCTGCTAAGAGTGCCTGTAAACACCCACAGGGGATCAGCTGTTGCTCTGTATATTTAGCTCAGGGAGCACAGAAAGGAAAAGTGATCTCTCCGCTTTCCTTAAACAGAGCACCATCAAACCAGATTTCCGAGTACTCTCAGAAGAGGACAGTGTTGTATGGGATTTTCAACTGCTCGCATGGAAGAAGAAAGCTGGATTTGATAGTGTTACAAGACTCCCAACTCCTCTGACAAGCTGTTAAGGTGACCTACTAGTGACCTGCACAAAGAGCAGAGGCACAATACACCACAACTTTATATCCTACTGCATCTTTCAGACAAACTAACTGCTTTGACACATTAAAGGCAGTTAAATTATGAAAAATGGAAGCTCACTTGAGTTAAAATTAGATTTCCCTTTCTGTAACTGTTTGCAGAGAAGGTCACCAAGTGCACAGGAACCACAGAGTGTGTTGCCATCACATTACAGAACATAAAGAGATTTCAACTGAGGCAAGT